AGAGGGGGAGAGAGAGAGAGACAGACACACAGAGAGAGAGAGAGAGAGAGAGAGAGAGAGAGAGAGAGAGCAGACAGACACAAAGAAAGACACAAAGACAGGCACACAGACAGACAGACAGAGAAATGGGGGAGGTAAATTAGTTAGCTCCGAACTGATCTCCGATGTGGGTAGTCTCTCTGTCTATGTATCGTTTAGAGTGTTGTTAAAGATAGGTAAAGAAATGTGGGTGTTTGTAAAGTTCGTGTGGGGAGGTAGGTACTGGAAGTGAGTGAATGGATTCATTGAATAGGTGAGTGTGCGTGTATATTAATCATATAGACACAATGACAAAAGAAAAATCGGAAATGAAATCAGTATCATTCTAGTTTTCATAGACGATTTCGTAATGTTTTTCCTGGAATGTTTCATTAAAACCCGATTTCTAGATAATGTTGAAAGTCGTTTATCTAAGAAATTATCCTTATTGTGTCTTACAGGGCGTAAACTCCACTCATACAATAGAAAATTAGAAAATTAACAACAACAACAACAACAACAACAACAACAGCAAGAACAGCAACAACAACAACAACAACAACAACAGTAACTGAAACTACCAATAAAAAGGCTACAGAAATGAACAGCAACAAACATCAAACAAGAACAAAGGCAACAACAACAACAGCCTCACCAAGTTTTTCCAAGTTCAAATAGTAAGGGCCTGCCGGACAAGTGCTATGAAGTTGATTCAGATGTTCCTCGATATTGGTGACATCGAACACTACCCTCTCCATGCCCTTTCTCGCCATTTTTGCCTGTGCTGCAGCGTCCTTCACGGTTCCTGTGAGTTCTGCATGGGTCTGAAAATCATTTTAAAAATGAATACTAAACTTGACCTTGTGCAGCAGTGCGATTAAAATGGATTTTTTAATTAACACTGTAGGTTTGAAGCTCGAACCAAAATTGTCTCTTGCTGTTCAGTGTCTTTTCTGGAATTACTGTTATAAGCAAAACTCTGCGCTATGCCAGTTGTGGGCCATTAAGTCAACAAGGAAGTAGTTTTATGACTACAGCAAAGCATGCCAGATACAGACGATCCGTAAGTCTGTGACCAGACCGAGGATACCAGAACTATCATTTTTTCATTTTTTGGATGCCTTGGACCCGACAAACTAAACCTGTTTGCTTTTTGTTT